TTTTAATAACCTTGATCTAACTCTGATAAATAAAACTTAATGACCCAAAGGGATTTTTTTTGGCTGTTCCCCTTGGAGGTAAGGAACGTAAGAATGATATTTGGTATTTGACAAAAAAAAGGAATGCAGGTAGGCTCTCTCTCTACGTATGCCCAGTATCGCCCAGAATGCAATGCTGCATTTTATTCCATAGAATCCCCTCTCTTCACGGATGTCAAAGAAGTGTTTGCTACCTGCTCTCTCACTTGGTCATTGATGGATTCTTTTAAGAAGCATTACCACGTGCTTCTTACATACCAGACTTAGAAAATGCCAGACCTTACCCTTAAGAACCTCTCAGACCTAGTGGGAAGGAAACCAAACCCAAAACCCATTGCTGTAGAGTGGATTCCAACCTAACCTGACGAGACTGGACAAAGAACTGCCCCACTGGGTGTCCAGGACTGTTAGTCTTTATGGGGTAGACAGCCTCAAAGGTTTTTCTCAGAGTAGCTGGGGAGTTTGAACCACCGACTTTGCCCTTGGTGATGTTTAATCCACTGCACCACTGGGCTCCTTGGGATCGGGAAGAGGAGACAAAGATGTAATTGCAGGTTTAGTGTACAGTCATCCCTCTGTATTCATGGGTTCCACATTGCTGGATTTAAACATCTGGGATCAAAAATATTCCATGGGGGCGGTGGAGAGAAAGACTCTTAAAAGCAATTAAATGGTTAAAGCAATCCCTCAAAGGCTGAGAGGAAGCCTGCAGTACAGTTTCCCTAGCATTTTCACCTTGTTAGTCACCTAGAGAGGGTTTAAAGAATGCGGAGGGTGGGCATGGTTTATATGCCAAGACTATGTCCAAGACCAACAAGGAGGTAGTAGCTGAGGCACCAGCATGTGCACAGGGACCTTAGAGCTTCTTCAGGGCTCTGTGCAGACTGAGACTGCTGTGGGGGACGGGGGCTTATGATCAGAGCAGCGCTCCAGGAACCTTCCCCAGAAGGTCCCCAGGACCAGGCTTCCCGAGGGACCAGGAGAGCGGAGGGAAGGATGCAGAGGTTTCAGGTTTGCATTTCAGGTGGGTAAACCTGGTTACAAAGTGGAGGACAGTTTAGATAGCAGACCCCAGAAACCACAGAGGCCCATTTGAGCAATCAGAAAGCTTCTCCTGCAGTCACTTTGGGGTTGGGGAGGAAGGGATGGCTCTAGAAGAGGCGTAGGGGATAAAACATGAATATGGACTTGTTGGTGGGTTGGAGTGGTGATAGGATGGCATGGCAGGACCAATGAAGCTGTAGAGACCAGAGCACCCACAGAGGTTCCCGTGGACTGAGGCCCTGTGACTGTTTTCATAGACTTGTGCATCTCCCATACTGCCTCACGTACAGGTGTGGAGCCCTATGTAAAAAGAGCAAGGAATGCAAGAATTTTAGCAATATACGGAGCTTCACTGACCACCTTCCCTAGGAAGGATAAGCAGGTTGCTTAAAAGCTTTTGTAATACCCAGTAGCCTCACTTGAAAGAGTCCTAGTGACACAGAGCTTGAGTGCTCAGCCTGTAACCAGAAGATCAGCAGTTGAGACCCATGGGAGAACGATGTGGCCGTCTGCTTCCCGACAGATTACAGCCGGGGAACCCTGTGGGGGTGCGGTGCAGCACCACTGACTACACAGCAGTGGGCTCCTCGCTGGGGTCATCCCAGGAAGGAGATGTACAGATGTAGCTCAGGAGATGGAGAGTTGAGCTAAGGAAAGAGGCCGGCGAGAAGGCTACCTGGGCTGATGAGCGTGTACGGAGTGCTCACTGTGCTGCAAGTACTCGGGTTGCATAGAAGCATAAATCAGATAGTCTGCCTTCACAGTGTGTTAGGAGAGGCACAAACAAAGCAAAACAAAAACCACAAGTTATTATATAGTAGGGTTAAATGTGTTAGGCGTTGCTGTTGTACGGTAGAAGGGATGTACGAGTTAGGTGTTGTGATAGAGTAGTGCGATATGCAGATGATACAACCTTGCTTGCTGAAAGTGAAGAAAACTTAAAATATTTACTGATGAAGATCAAAGACCATAGCCTTCAGTATGGATTACATCTCAATGTAAATAATATAAAAATCCTCACCACTGGACCAATAAACAACATTCTTATCAATGGAAAAAAGATTGAAGTTGTCAAGGACTTCATTCTTCTTGGATCAACTATCAACACTCATGGAAGCAGCAGTCAAGAAATCAAACG